GCCAAGAGAGAGCGCTCAGGGTGGTGATCAGGAGATTACACCCATCAACACCGCTGGATGCCATTAAAGAAGAACTAACTGAGATGGGGTTCAGTGTTCGACAAATAGTGAATATATTCAAGGAAGATAGAGAACAGCCTGGTACAAAAAATAAAATACCGCTCTCACTATTCTTCGTTGACCTTGACAGAACGCCACAGGTCGAAGAAATCTACAAGGTCACACGCCTTTATTACACTAGCGTTGTTGTAGAAAATCCCTACACTAAGCGCAACATTGTACAATGCCATAACTGCCAGGCTTATGGTCATACGAAACGCTATTGCCACCACATTCCTAGATGCGTCAGGTGCGGTGATCAACATAAAACAGAGGACCGCCAGAAGTCCAGAAGAACACCAGCAGTATGCGCTTTATGCCATCAAGGGTACCCAGCGAACTACAAGGGTTGCCAAACATATAAGGAACTGAAAGCAAGAATTTATGCAGCTCCAAGAGAAGAACGGCCATCCAGGCCACCAAGACAACCCTCTAGAACTGTAAATACAAGAGTGTCCTATGCTCAGATGTTCAAAGGAGACACTGGACCAACACAAACTCAGGCCCTGCCACAAGAACCTCAACCTCGAGTATTCACATCTCAACCTCAAGACCCTTATCCCATCTCTGAACCTAGACCTAATAACCAGACATTCATTCCTCCTCCTCCCAATGCCACTGACCTCACAAGCCTATTGACTTCTTTCCTCTCTGAATTCAGGTCACTCATCACTCCTCTCATTTCCTTACTTACCAATGTTGTATCCAACCTCATTCCACTGTCGAGAAATCCTTAAATGTCCCCAATCAAATCCCTCTCCGTTCTTCTTTGGAATGCGAATGGTATTCGAAATCACGTCAACGAACTAACATTCTTATTACAGGACAAAAACATTTATATAGCATTAATAACTGAAACTCGACTTACCAACAAACGACCACTTAACACCCCCAACTATCATATCTATCGAACTGACCATCCTGATGGAACAGCACATGCTGGCACTGCCATAATTATCCATCAATCCCTTCCCATCATCTATTCCCTTTGCTAACCCATAATTTCCTACAATCCACTGCCATGATAATCCAAACTTCCCTTTACCCAATAGCAGTAGTCGCAGCATACTCCCCGCCTAAAATACCATCTCAGAATCCCAATTAACTTCGTTCCTTAACTCCTTAGGACACCACTTCCTTCTAGGTGCAGACTTAAATGCTAAACACCAGCAATGGGGAGCCAGAACCACAAATTCCCGAGGACGAACATTGCTATCTGCACTCAATTCCCATCACAGCAACATCCTCTCACCCAATTCTCCCATATACTGGCCAACAGATCCTAACCGCAATCCCGATCTCCTAGATTTTTTCATCCACAAAGGTCTAAGATCCCTTAATTATAGCATCTCAAGACTTGATGATCTTTCCTCAGACCATAGTCCCCTATTCCTAACGGTCTCCACATCACCAATTCCCAAACCACTCTCACCTTCATTTATCAGGGGGCCAGTTAATTGGAACCTCTTCCGTCAAATACTGGATGATAATATTGACCTCAGAGTTTCCTTAAAAACACCGGCAGACCTAGATGAAGCAGTATATTCCATGACTACCTTGATCCAACAAGCAGTTTGGACTGCATCTTCACCTGATCCTTCTAAAAAATACGGCAAAATAAATCATCTACCCCAAGACCTACTGGACCTTATTAATAGAAAACGATGCTCTAGGTACATCTGGCAAAGAACCAGGCATCCTGATGATCGGAAATCATATAACTATTATTCCAAGCAGGTAAAACAAAAACTGGCTACGTTTAGATCCCAATCCTATAATTCCTATCTTTCCTCACTATCTGCAAGTGAACTAACTCCCGCTGGAATGTAACTAAAAAAATCCTTAAATTCCAATCCATTTCCTATCCCCTCCGCCCAGATGATGGTTCCTGGGCTTCGTCAGATGAGAATAGAGCAGAAGAGTTTGCTAAACATCTATCGTACACATTCACTCCTCATCCTGAACTCCATCTCTCCCATACTGCTGAAGTTAAAGAATTCCTCTCTTCACCGATTCCTCTCTCCTTACCTCCTACAGCCGTCAACCCCTCTGAGGTCAAATTCCTTTTAAAGAACCTAAAACCTCGCAAATCTCCAGGACACGATCTCCTTACTTCCCAGATCCTCAGACAACTTACCAAAAAAGCAATTATATTCCTTACATACCTATTCAACTGTATCCTCCGCACAACCCACTTTCCTCTGGTGTGGAAACACTCCATAATTATCCTCTTTCCTAAACCAGGTAAACCTGTTAATTGTACATCATCCTATAGACCGATAAGCTTACTTCCGATGCTTTCCAAAATCTTTGAGAAAATCCTTCTCAAACGCATCCTACCCATACTCGAATCACACAATATCCCTTCCCATCAGTTTGGATTTCGCTTAAGACACTCCACTGTCCAACAAGACCTTCGCGTTGTGGACCACATATCCTCTGCACTTGAAAACAAGCAATATTGCACTGGTGCCTTTCTGGACGTAGCTCAAGCTTTCGACCGGGTGTGGCACGATGGCTTGCTTTTCAAGCTCAAAACCCATTTACCTCAACCTTTGTATCTAGTCCTCAAATCCTACCTTTCAAATCGCTCCTTTCAAGTCCGCTGCGCCACTGAACTCTCCAAACATTATCCAATTGAGGCTGGTGTTCCACAAGGCAGTTTCTTGGGCCCAGTTCTCTACATCCTTTTCACCGCTGACATCCCTTCAAGTCCTGATACCTTCCTAGCAACATTTGCTGATGATACTGCCATCCTATCCTCCCACTCGTATTCTCTAATTGCGTCCCGGATCCTGCAAAGACACCTCTCCTTCATTGAGCAGTGGTGCAACAACTGGCGCATCAAAATTAATGAATCAAAATGTAAACATGTAACTTTCACTCTTCCAGATCCTTTCCGCCAATCCTTTTTAATTCAATTCCTCTTCCCTACTCAGACACAGTCCGATACCTTGGCTTCCTTCTGGACAAAAGACTGACTTGGAACCCACATACGAGACTTAAAAGACAAGAGCTTAACCGACGATTTGGTCAGCTATATAGACTACTAAACAGAACATCTCATCTCTCAACAGAAAACAAATTATTAATCTACAAGACCATACTGAAACCTATCTGGACCTACGGACTTGAGCTGTGGGGGACAACTAAATCATCGAATATCAAACGCATCCAATCCTTCCTGTCTAAAGTTCTTCGAACGATAGTCAATGCTCCATATTATGTCACGAACAAGACCCTACACCATGACCTTAACATCCCATATGTCCATGACATCATCCCATCCAGATTCTCCAACTTTCACCAGAACCTCATACATCATCCCAATCTTCTAGCCCAATCCCTATCCAGCTCCGAGCATCCATACCATCCCCCTCGAAGGTTGAAACGGCAGTGGCCTCGAGATCTTTTGTAAATATGCCTTTGGAGTCCTGGCAATGGCCAGCTTCTCCACTCATGTCCTGAGCGTCTGTGGCTCTAGTGCCCTCTTTCAGTCTCCATTTGCTTCTAATACTAGTGATGCGGCTGAAAAAGTGGCGCTATGATCTTCCGGAGTCTTGCTTTGCCTTCCACGTGTGGGGGAAAAAGCCTGGTTCGGAGATTCTTGGGCGAATGTATATATTGTATACAGTTATGATTGTGTTTAGAAGTTTTTATTTTATTTTATTTGTTTATTATTATTATTTTTTCTTTTCTTTTTATTTATCTTCTTCATTAGTATTATTTATTTACTTCTTATATTTATATTTATTTCTTTATTATTTGTATATATTGTATGAATGAGAACTTTTAGCCCTAATGCTTATAGCCCTCCAGCAGTGGCTGATTGTATTATTATTCAATAAATAGAAAAAAAAAAAAGATAGAATTTGTTCAAGTTCAGGTCAGTGGTATTCATGCAGAATGGTGATCGATCCAGTTTCACAAATTAATTTAATTACCACTTCGTTCCTGGTTAGTCCACTTGAGATGTGAGGAATAGGCAATACCTCCATATCTTCATCTTTTGCTGAGGTTAAAGTGAAGTTGAGTTCAATGAGAAATAGAAATATATATGAGTTTTTATGCAGAGTATTGTCCTGCATAAATAGAAGTGCCTTCATTTGCCGTGTCCCAAGAAGTACGGAATAAATTTTCTTCAATAGAACTTCAAGACCCTCAAATTGCATAAGCCAGGAAAAGTTTATTTGCTTCTGGGTGCTGATACGTAGGGTGAGGTTTTAAGTGACCCTGGTTTATTTTTTCAGGATCAACCGAAAGCTATTCATACCCCATTAGGATAGCCAAAGCCACATATCTTCAATATTTCTTTCACGCAGACCAGCCCTTCCTTACAGGAGGAATTAAAGCGATTTTGGGGGACTGAGGAGGTCACAGCTTCGATTCCGCCGAATCCTGAAGATGCATTTTACGAAGATCACTTTATGAATACACAGATTTAGGAGAGTTCTGGAGTATAAGTCTGCCTATGCTGCAAAGATGGATGAAATGGAAGCTGTGAAAGGTGCTTATGGGCCGGGGGAAAGACATTGCCAACATTGTCGAGGCGGAAAAGAAAGCGGCCCAGAAAGACAAGACCGCTAACGTCGAAGAAGAACCAAAACCTGATAATGAAGAACAAAGTGAAAATTGGAGGCCACCAGTTGTTCCAAAAAACACACCACTCCTATCTTTGAGGAAAAACCCAAAGCAATTAACCGATTTAGACAAACAGAGTGAAGATGGTGCCGATTTGGACTAAGACATTAAAGGCAGCAGCGAGGAAGGAGAATTCTTAACTACTGAACCTGGCGGTGGCGACGATTCTATGGGAAGGAGGCAACGTGTGAGGAGGTCATCGAGAGCGAGAATATGAAGAATAGATAAATAGTTCATAGATGACGATTCCGGATCAGGTGATGAGCCTAGGAGGAAGAAAACCCGCAGAATTTTGGCAAATTCGAGCCCGGTATCGAGCGATACAAATTGAGGAACAAAAAAAAGGAAAACGAAAACATACATCAGAATTAGATCCTCAAGAAGTAGAAAAAAGAAGAAGAAGATGGCCCTGGATTCAAATTCAGATCGATCTAAGAAAAAAAATTAAAAGGCCGAAGATTAGGTATGGACTTTCTGAGGACGAAGGGAAACCACTGAAACGGACAACAGGAAAGAAGATGAGTTACCTTGAGGTTGCAGGTTCCGATACTGAAGAGGTGGTCATAGCCAGAAGCAGGAAGCTGGTAAGTGAAGAGGAAGAAGAATTTGTACCTGAAAAAGAAGAAGTGGGGGGAGATGAGAAAAATGAACATGAGGAAGTTGAGCCTGCAGAAGAAGTCCAAGAAGTTTAAGGAGCTATATCAATTTGTTAAGGGCCGGTGTGAAACCATTTCTAATCATTTAAGTTGGACGGGTATAAAGTGGACTTTTACTCCGAGTCAGCAATTAAATTCTCTAAGACACACCTTCTTGCCGTTCTCCAGGATCATGCGTTAACTTATGAAGAATTTTATACAATTCTTGTACTAGTTGAAGCCGTTCTATATTCCCGTCCTATCTGCAACATTAGTAGTCAGCCATCTGATAACCTAGATTAACTTATACCAGGTCACTTTCTTATAGTCAACCGCTCCGAACCAGACCAGAACAAGAAGAAGCATCTTTGTTTCCTTAGACAAGCCGTTGGCAGATGATTTCCATGACTTCGTTATTTTTGGAAGAGATGGTATAATGAATACCTACATAAGTTGGTGCCTCGCAACAAGCGGTATACTGACAGGGAAAATTTATAGGAGGAAACCCGTGTAATTCTGCATGAAAAAGATATTGCACAGCAGGAGTGGCGGATTGCCAGGATAATAGAGACATTTCCAGGGCCTGACAGTGTAGTTCGGGTTGTAAAATTGAGGACTACTACAGCCACTTTGGTGAGACCGATGCTTGTTTACATTTTTGTAAACTTCCCGATGTTTACTTAACCCATCTAATGTCTGCATAGCCTTCTCAATATTTATATTATATTTAATTCTCCTAATATTTGCATTTTATATTTGAAAGGATGCAACACTTATTATAATATATATTAGTAATATATATTTTGTAATATATATTAGTAATATAAACTCTTTTAAAAATTAAATCTGAAAATGATAAATAAATTAAAACTTGTCTTTGAACCTTTTCTGATTCCGACAAAACTTCTGATGTCAGTCTATGTAGAGTGTCTGTCTTACTACAAAGAAATTCCGCTAAATCAATGGATTCATAACATGGAAGGAAAAAAGTCTTGAGATCCCCTCCAAAAGCTGTCTAGATCTCATACAAAGGTCCTACTGGCGCCTCCAACCGCCTTCGCTTCGTCATAACGAGTGGTGTTTTTCTTTGGCAACAACGTACATGTTCCATACACTGTCTTTGAGATTGAAAAATCTCACCGCAGTAAACGCATTGGTAGCGTTGTCTGGCATGACTTTTCATGACGAAGTTTAGCCATCTGCCTACTAAATTATTTATCGCAATGCTGACATGTGTTCATTGCTGATATTATAAAATAAGTATTTAATGAAACACACAACCACCTTCCTTTTAGGAACACTGAATGAGGAAAAGCTTCGAAAAAAAAAGTTCCTATTTATAGACTGCCTTGTTTATATTTTCAGGATTTAAAAGACGAAGTCCATGTTTACGTGTTAAGGAGAACAATAAGAGATTACAGCTCTACTGTCCATTGTTTATACTCAGATAGAGATTAAGAAGACCTAAGAGGTTGTCTATATTTTACGGATTACAGGGTCAAGGTCCATGTCTATGTACGAAGGAGAACAATTAGAGATAAGGGATGAAACATATAAAGTCCATATTCACATACCGATAAAGACTCTGTGAAATTTGCATAGTTTCAAAGTTCACATTTACACATTGACGAGAATTCTATGTGAGATTATTAAAAGATCAAAATCCATATTTTCACATCAATAAGAATTCTATTTGGAACTTTGATCAGCGAGACCATCAGGCATAGCCAGAAGGAACTTCAAGTTTTGTGAAATGTAAATATTCGGAGAAACTAGCTGGGAGGAACTTTAAGTTGTGCAATACATAAACATTAGATATGTCAAATAAAATGTTTGGATTCGGGAGTTGGGCAAGTTCAGTCTTTATAGCGTAGATACGTTAGCCTTCGACGGTTTGGAGGAGCTATAAGTCGGAAGACTCTTGTAAGGCACACTCAGTCAGTATAAAGTTAACTACTGAAATAGGTAGCAGATCAATCAAAGGATTGGAAGAAACACGTAATGGTTAAGTAAACAAGATGGCTGCTATGAAAATGTTTATTAGACTTTTGGAAATACTCAGCATCCACAAGGTTGGTAACTGACCCTTCAATGGATTGGAAGATGGATTCCATTAATAGTAAATATAACAGCTCAGAAAACATGTGGAGTCGGGAGACTATAGTGTCAATACCTGGCCGTTCAAAACATTAGGAATATTATATAAAATGTAATTTATATTCTCAAATGGATTTATATTACTAATATATACTACCGTACTCTAGCAACACTTACAAAAATATAATAAGTGCTTCACCCTATCAAATATATAATGCAAATATTAGAAAAATTAAATATAATATAAATATTGAGAAGGTTATGCATACATTAGATTTGTTTAGTAAACATCGGGAAGTTTACAAAAAAGTAAACATGACAGAGAAATCTCCAACCGGAACAAAACCTCGGAGCTGGTGCTGTATCTGCTAGGTAGAAATATGAGGGAATGTGACCTAATGCTCATGTGGCTACAACGGGGATGTGGTTGTGTGTTCATGATTAGGTTGAAGTAAAAAAAACGGGAGTGCGCTAAGAATATTTTAATTCTAATGCAAATGTGGCGCACTTATCACGTGACCGAATTCTGGCTCTAGTGTCATAAAATCGTGAAACGAGTGTCGCATCCTACCGGACTCCTTACGAATTACTGTAAGTGCTATTTCCAGACGGAAAAAATAAATAAAAGATAGAGAATTAAATGTTAAAAGTCCATTGTTTACAATTCGATAATGATTTAATGAATGGACCAAAAACGTCCAATCTTTTAAGGATTAAAAGGGCCAAGTATATGTTTACGTGTAAAGGATAATAATAAGAGATAAGGGAATAAATACTCAAGTCCATTGTTTACACTTAGATAGGGATTAGGAAGACCTAAGAGGTTGTTTATATCTTAAATATTAAAGGGGCCTAAGTCCATCCGCTATCTGCGTAATTGAATTATGTGTAGTGTTTACGTACCTAAAATTACTTGAAAATATTCCAATACGAAATCTCCAGAGGCCGTTTACATTATTACTAACACGTAGACTTCTTGTAAAAAATCAATATTATAATAAAAAGCAGAGAGGTTACTGCAGAGTTATAATGGTTAGGATGGAGGGAAGAGCGCTAAATTTCCCATAAATATAATACTTGGATAGAGATTAAGAAGACCTAAGAGGTTGTTTATATTTTAATAATTATAGGGGCCAAAGTCTATATTTACGTAAAAAAGGAGAACACTAAGAGATAAGGGAATAAATGCTCAAGTCATTTGTTTATACTTAAATATTGATTAAGGAGTTGTTTACATTTTGAGGATTTAAAAGGGCAAAGGACATGTTTACACGTGAAGAAGAACAATAAGAGATAAGAGATTACAGGTCCAAGTCCTTTGTTTATACTTAGATAAGGATTAAGAGGTTGTTTATATTTTAGTTATTAAAGGGGTCAAAACCTATCCGCTATCTGCCCAATAGAATTATGTGTAATGTTTACATACCTAAAATTACATAAAAATATTCAAATACGAAATCCCCAGAGGCCTTTTACAGTATTACTAAAATAAATATATTTTTCCAAATAATAATAAAAAATTAAACATAAAATGTCGAATATCTCGAAAACGGTTGGTTTTAGAGTAAAAAGGACATCGGGCCTAGCCCCTGAAAGTCTCTAGAGGGACCCGTAGGATTCCATTTGGAACCCAATATCATAATAAAAAAAGTAGGGAGGTTACTGTAAGGTTATAATAGTTGGGAGGAGAGAGGAACGCGAGATTCGTCCCAAATATATATGATCAGGCTTACATAGAATAATGAATAATAAAAAAAGAAATATATTATTTTGAAAAACAATAAAAACATAAAATGTCGAATATCTCAAAAACGGTTGATTTTAGAGCAAAAAGGACATCGGCCCTAGAAAGGGATAGCCCCGAAGGGCTCTAGGGGGGTCCGTAGAATTCCATGTAGAACCCATTACCATAATAAAAAATTAGGAAGGTTATGATGGTTATAATAGTTAGGATAGAGGGAGAAGCACCAGATTTGCCATTATGAAAATTGTAAACAATAGGGAAGTTATAGAAAAACAAAATGGCGGACAAAGTACAAATGTCTCTCAAATCGCTGTTCACGTGACCGATCACGTGACTCTGAAAAGGTAAACAATGAGAAGGTTATATGAGGGTCACATGAACGAAAAGGAGCGTGACTGGTGGTCACGTGACTGACCACGTGGTGGTTAAGGCTGGTTAGAGGTCCTAAAAGGCAGCGTGCCGTTGTACAAATTCAAATTCAAACTTCCCGTCACTGAAATCCTGGCTTATGATTGGCTGCTCTTTTTGGTGGCCCAGCTCCCCCATTTCTTCTCTACTGCCATCCTAACTCAGTGTAGTGGTGGGAGAAACGGGAGCGTCTCGGGGTCCCAATTACAAATCTTACGAAGCTATTCATAAGTCTTTTGAGTCTATCACGGAGTTCCACCGAGAGGCTATCGTACACCACACAGCTGCAGTCAAAGTTGGAAAGATGAGAGAGGAAGCTAGGAGTCAACGGGTATTTTGGGGATGAGATATGGTGAGATATTAGAGATATGGTGATTCCAGGAATGGGTTTAATCTATGAGAAAGCCTAAATTTTTAACAAAGGGATAGAAGGTGATGGGGTGGTTGTTTAGATAGAGTGAGGGAAAGTTGGTGTGGGATCTAAGAAGGGGCTTGGAACCATTGAGAATGGCCTGAGTTTTGGCAATAGCCTTAATCCATTTAAGTTGGCCCAGGCACTAATTCGATCTAAATCTTCTTGAATTTTAGCAAATGCCGCCAATAACTCAGCGGGAGAAAAGGATAAATAGATTTGAGAATCGTCGGCATAAAGGTGGTGGGAACAATGGATAATTGAATCATATAGGTCATTAATACAAGAGCTGAAAAGAAGAGGACACATGCTTGAATCCTGTGCAACTCCACAGGATAAAGGAAGGTAGGGAGATAGAGGTTGATTAGGTATGGAAACTGCTTGGGTTCGTTGTGA